CTGGGCCGTTAATTATATAATGCTCCTGCCTGTCGACTCCGTGCCCAGCCCTGGTCCCAGGCGGCCCTTTCTGTGCTGTTGTTTTCCTGGAGCAGGTTGGAGAGCTTCCCTGACCCTGGGCCCTGTGGACCAAGAGGGAGCAGACGGTCCTCCCTCGGCTCTAGGCATGGGCTCTGCATGTGTGTGTGTGTATGTGTGGTGCCCCCACGCCCGCACACACAGGGCTGGAGAGGCAGCAGTTGTGGGTGGCAGCCTGGTGCTCACAGCTGGGCTCCTCAGGAGCTGGGCAGTTGTCACCTCCAAGGCTTGGCCTAGGCCTCCCGCAGAGCTGCCCCCCCCCCAGGGCTCCTGGCTGCCGTGGGCTCTGTAGGCTGCACCAGCCAAGTGCCTGGGGAGGAGAGGGGCTCGGCCCCTCCTAACCTCTGAAACTCCAGGAATGTGTGGGCACCAGGCCCCATGCTGCCATCCCCAGCATGACACCCAGTGGCCTTGTCCTGCTTGGTCCTGCCCATCTCACAGGCGAGGTCCATGGGGCCAGGGAGCCGTCTGAGCCTGGGCCCAGGGCTGCAGCCAGGGTGGCAGAGCCCACAGTTGTTTGGGACCACTCCCTCATCACCACCCCACCTGCCCGGAAGGAGCCCAGTTTGTCTCTACTCTTGGGAGGGCTGTGTTCTTATCTCACTAGGCAGACCGAGGTTTCAGGGCACCACGCTCACCAGGCAGAATTGAGTTGACCCTCTGGCCAGGGTCATTAGGCTGACTTCTGGGGCCACTTCCTGAGCACAGCCCCGAGTCTTACCAGGAAGCCTGTGTGCCATGCACAGTGGGTGCAGTCAGTGCCAGAGCAGGATGGGCCTCGACTCCTCCCCCCAAGGACACACCCCAACTCCAGCCGGCAGGCATATGGGGGTGGGGATGTGGGGCCCCAGTCGGCCGAGCTCCCGAACTTTAGCCTGGCTTTCAGTGCTGACTTGGGGAAATGGCGATTTTCATGAATAATGCACAAGCAGCAAGTGTATTCTACATTTAGCTGGAATTGGTATGGAACCCATTTCAACTGGGGACACTTCTGCCAGCTCCTCCTCCAGCTTCCCCGCCCCCGGGCCACCAGCACTGCTTTTGGTCTGTGTGCTCTCCGTCTGTGTGGGGAGCCTGGGACCGTGGTGGCAGGAGCTCACTCCAAGTTTCCTGCCTGTCCCGGAACCCTGGCCCTGCCAGCACGCCATCGGGTGACCTTGGACAGATTACCGAATCTCCGAGCTTGTTTCCTCATCTTCAAAGGGCCGATGATCAAGCTGTGAAGTGGGGGATTAGCTGAGAACAGAGTACGTGGCTATGCCAGGGACTCAGTAGCGTTTCTTATTACTTACTGGGACTTTTACTGCTGTAGTTCACACACAGTGAATGTCACTTACAGTGTCATTATTGGAACTGATGGCCAGGTGACAGGTGATCATGAAGATGCTGGGGGTGGTGTGAGATGCTCCCCCTGTGCCAAGCGCGTGGCGAATGTTTGCATGAATTGTAGCGGTTAACTCCTGACACCTCCTGAGGGCTGAGTCCGTTTGTTGTTCCCATTTCCCACCCAGGGAGCGGAGGTTGGAGCAGATGGGCTCTGGGCGGAACCAGACTCACTCAGGATGGGGACCCCAGAGCCTCCTCTCTGGAAACTGGCTTGGGCAGAAGCACCCGTTATTTCTTCTTCTTCCACGTCCGCCCTTCCCGCTGGGGTGCAGAACCCCGAGCTGAAGGCAATGCACAGTGCATTGTGCAGACCCCAGCTGCCGGCCCCAGCCCCAGTGGCCAGGCTCGTCTCCGTCCTGTGTCACTGCGCTTTGCCCCACAGGTGAATATGCCTTCCCGGTGCTGTGGATACAGAACCCCTTGGACCGAAAGTTACCCGCTCAGATAAGCCCTCCCACATCCCGAAAGGTATGAGTCATCTCACGCCCTGGCCTCTCCCCTCCTGCGCGGTCCTGTTCCCCGGCCCAGATTCCTCGGCCCACACAGATCACACACGCCCACAGCCAGGCTCCAGCCCCACCCAGGCGCCTGCGCGCGCACGCGCACCGCGCACCTGCCGCCGTAGACATTTTCCAGCCGGTCCTCCAAACAGCCACGTGTGCCTCCTGGCTCTGCGCGCTCTGGGTCTCTGCCATCCCCGTATGCGGGAGTTCAGGTGAGAGGCAGTGGCTGCTTTGTTTTCATTGCAAACACATGTTCACACTGTTAACGCCCCTCCCCTTGTAAGAGAAACGAAACCTCACCCTCATCAGCACCGCGGCGGGTATTTTTGGTGCTTGGGGAGGACTGTGTGGAAGAGACTTTAAAGTCCAGATGTCCGGGCTAGGAGGAAGCAGATGCTTATCTCAGAAGCAGGAAGTGAGCGCAGCTACTGGAGATGAAGGCGCCCGCCCGGGAGTCCCTCTGGGGCTCGGTCAGAAGGGACTCAGCCCGCGCCACTGGCCGGGCTTGCACTGGGGCTGGACTTGAGCTGAGCAGGAGTCCGCGGGGCAGCACTGAGAGGGCCTGGCTGAGCCTGGCTTAGCCCGGATGGGGGGAGCAGGAAGGCCTGCCGTTCTCCTTCAAGTCATCCCTTGTCCTCAGTTTCCCCAGTCTCCCCGACTCTGACAGCTGTCAACTGCACGTAAGGCCCCCGTTGTCCCTGGATGACAAAGAGCTGCTTAGATTCCTGCGTGCTGGGAGAAAGGGGGTGTTAGTGTCGGTTTCCCTCAGCAGCGCCCGGGATCAGCCCCTCCCCAGCCTGCAGTCTGGGGGCCGGCGCTGCGGGAGGAGCTTGGTGGGTCTTCAG